GATTAAGAATATAGCGAGAACTTGGTTCAAGAGAAGCGAGAGAAGCTTTGGAAGCTTGTCAAGAGCCCACAAATTCTTTTCAATACTTCAAAAATCTACGGAAGTGCCTACATTTACTCTGATAAGACTGAGCTGCCTAACAGCAATACCTATGTCTTTCTGGGAGCTGGAAAAATGTCAACTTGGTGTGGTGACATGGGTTCTATTAGGGTGATCCAGAGTCCCAGTTGGTTGGTCAGAACCATCGCCAGCAATTCTGGTACCTGTGCCAAATGTCATGTCACAAACCCTAGAGTTAGTTTTTTAATTCATGTTGTGGCTCACAGATGGGTGTTATTAGCAGCGCTCACCATCTGGTAGCTTTCTATTTCAACTATTCATTCCTGCTAACTAGATGCTGATCTTTTAAAATTATTGTTTTAAATTTATGTGACCTCTCAATGTTCCTGGCCTGGGACAAAAAGTTCTGGTCATCTGCCCTTGTGATACTCTTGATTTTAATCTAAAGTGAGGAAATGGAATGTCACTTAAGAGCAACTTGTTGCCTAAACCAGCATTTTCCCCACATGAAGTCCAAGAAACAAAAATCAGCAAAAAGAGGCCTCATGGGTGGAAAGACTCTGCACCACTACCAGAGGGTCAAGTTTTGAGTTCCCAAACTTTGTATTTCTCTCTCTTGTGTCTGTAGCTCTCAGCGCCTGGCACACAGTGGGCACCTGATAAAAATGTATTTGGAACCATGCCAATGGGCCAGCCACATTATGGTGTTCCACTTTGGTTGCTAGCGTGCTTCCAGAAGGCTAGGCGGATGCCAAAAGCTAGGACACACTCCAGGATGTGTTGTCAGTTGTGTGGAGAGCGCCTTGAGCTAATTTGAGATCTTCTTCACACGTTCTAAAGCTCTGTTTTGTGAATTAAAATCTCCACAGACAAATCCTCAGCCTTTATCCTCCCATGTGAATGGTCCTGATGTTTCTCATCATGTCTTCTGATTTTTTTTTTTTTTTTGAGTTGGAGTCTCACTCTGTCGCCCAGACTGGAGTGCAGTGACCGCTCCAGGCCACTGCAGCCTCGACCTGCTGGGCTCCAGTGATCCTTCCACCTCAGCCTTCTGAGTAGCCGGAACTACAGGCGCGCGCTACCACGCGTGGCTAATTTTTTGATTTATTGTAGAGATGAGGTCTCGCTGCCCAGGTGGGTCTCGAACCCGCGGGCTCAGGCAATCCACTCACCTCAGCCTCCCAAAGGCACGGGATTACAGACTGAGCCACCGAGCCCGGCCTCTGATGTTATTAATGTTGTTTCTTGGTTATTCCTATCTTTGGGTTTTTGTGGATATGGCCATATCCGTAGAATTTTTTTTCTTTTTTTTTTTAAGATGGAAATCTCTCGCAGGGCCACCAGAACACACACAGAAGGGCCAACAGTGACTCAGATAACCACTGGGGAAGACAGGGCAGGGTTCTGTAATGCCCTGATTCATTTCTCTCTACTTTAGGCTATGAAGACATGCAGAGGAAGCCACAAATACTAATATCTCAGAATTCCTCTTTCTTCCTCCTCCTCCTCTTCCTCGTGTTATTATTATTAATCCTCTGTCTTCCTTTGCCCTAGTTAAGTTCATGAGGCCCTCCAGGAGACACTCTTCTTATGTCTTATCTCCTATTTCTAGTCTTGTAACATTTATATTTCATTGTCACTCATGTTGCTTTCTTACTAAACAATATAAACTACTTTGTTGGTTTCAATGTTAGGAAGAAATGTATATATAAAGCCATTCAGGCCTGAGCCCGTGGTTTCAAGACCTGCCTGGGCAACTTTGTGAGACCTCATCTCTACAATAACTCCAAATTAGCCAGGCGTGGTAGCATGTGCCTGTAGTTCTGGCTTCTTGGAAAGCTGAGGTGGAAGGATCACCAGAGCCCAGCAGGTCGAGGCTGCGATAGCCGGGAGTGGCCACTGCACTCCAGTCTGGGTGACAGAGTGAGACTCCAACTCCAAAAAATAAAAAATAAAATAAAAATAAAGCCATTCAGAATTTATAGGAGGGAGAAACATGTTTAGAACTTAGAAAATTGGGCATTGCATGGCTAGGGAAGGCAAATTTTGAAATAAAAGGCCTCGGACTTAGATCAGAATTATTATGAGTTATTTGTTACTAAGGAATAAAATGGTTTTAAAATGTATAACAGAAAAGTTAAAGTAGTTTAATTTTAAACTATACACTTAAGAACACCACATTTAAAAGGTTAATATATTTCAGCAACTACCATTAAAGATATTTATGACTTAATGACTAAGGGATAAATTTTAATATAGAATTTGTTCTTACAAGTCAATAAGAAAAAGAAAATCTCAATTGCAAATGGGCAAAGGACAGAAATAAGTAATTGTAAAAGGAGAAATACAAATAACTACTATGCATGTGGAAAGGATTGTACAAACTTACTGGAAATCAGACCAAATTTCAAGCAATGAAGTCCAATATTTGTTTAGAAATTAGCAAGTTTGGGCAGCGAGACCTCATCTCTACAATAAATCAAAAAATCAGCCGGGCCTGGTAGCACATGCCTGTAATTCCGGTTACTTCGAAGGCTGACGTGGAAGGATTGCCAGAGCCCAGCAGGTTGAGGCTGCGGTGGCCGGGAGCAGCCACTGCACTCCAGTCTGGGCGACAGAGTGAGACTCCAACTCAAAAAAAAAAAAAAAGAAATTAGCAAGTTTTTGAAAATACAGTGTGTAACCTCAGTGAGGAATCAGGCAAATGATCACTTGCAGTCATCGAGGGTACTATGTAGGTCAGACTTTCTGGAGGGCAACTTATTAAGAGCTTTAAAAAAGTGTTTTTCAGCCAAGGCTATGGTGAGCTGTGATCCTGCCACTGTACTCCAGCCCGGGACAGAGTGAGATCCTGACTAAATAAATAAGTTAATTTATTTATTTATAAACACACGAGTTAATAAATAAGTGCTTTTCTCCCAACCCGTCAAACCCACTTCATTCAGCAAAATGTTTTTTAGCTTAAAAGTTTTAAGTTTTATTTGAAAAACATAAGGAAGAAACAGGACTGTAAGGAATATTCCAACAGGGAATGATGGGATAAATTATGACACAAACATATTATAAAATATAATGCAGGTCTTAGAAGAATGATTTTGATTGACATTTATTGACCAAGAAAGATGACCATAAGGTATAAGTCAGAAAAAAGGTACAAAATATGTCAATGGCTTGCCATTTTTATAAAAAGCTATTGATGTATGTATGTGTTTATTTAAGTTTAGAAAAACTATGGTAGGAGATACACACTATTAAATATGGTAGTGATATTAGGTGGAGAGAGCGAGACAATTGCTATTTTTTCTTTAATTTTTGAATTTATAGTTTTTTTTTAAAAAGAAGAAATTCAGTAAATATTTTTGAGCACCTACAACATACCCTTTATTTCTGGCTACTGGAAACTAAATTTTGAGTGCCAGGGACAAAATCTGTCCTAAAGGAAAATTGAATAACTACATCTTCATTAGGAAGGTTGATTTTGAATAATTATTTATAATAATGAGATACTGAAAGCAGTTTCATTTCCAATGGTCAGAATTTAGTTAGGTGAATTGTGGTTAGATAATAGAGTGAAAATGTTCACAAGAGATGGTAATGTGAAGAGGGCTGCTAACATCAATATGTAAACACTAATTCCACTGGTGTTAAAATATATAAATGAGTAGAAAAAAATTATAGAAGTGTGTATACATCCTCCCAAAAAAAAAGGATCACTCCATTATGTGTTCTTTGGGGTGGTTTTTTTGTTTTGTTTGTTTGTTTGTTTTGAGTTACAGTCTCACTCTGTTGCCCAGACTGGAGTGCAGTGGCCGCTCCCGGCCACTGCATCCTCAACCTGCTGGGCTCCGGCGTTCCTTCTGCCTCAACCTTCCGAGTAGCCAGAATTACAGGTGCGTGCTACCATGCCCTGCTAATTTTTTGATTTTATTGTAGAGATGAGGTCTCGCCTGCCCAGGCGGGTCTTGAACCCGCAGGCTCAGACAATCCACTCACCTCAGCCTCCCAAAGGCACGGGATTACAGGCTGAGCCACCGAGCCCGGCTGGGGTGGTTTTTTAACAAAATATACTTTGTATTTTTTATCAGCAGTGAACACTGATTATCACGACAGGCATAGAAGTGGATTTTTTAAATTATTGAAAGTAGTTTCTTGAGAACAATATGTATGAGTTTGCATATCCTAATTGGTCAATGTTATTTTTCTAAGAGAAATAGAAAGCTCTCTGCAGTTTAAGCCATTCAACCTTGAACTTAATGAATACAAACACTGAGAATTTAAATCTAACGAGAGTGAAGTTTTTTCCTAACCTCAAGTCAAGAGCCACTTTACAGACGTGGTACAAGCTCTCTAGTAGTGTCATGTGGTGGCACTGGCTCACACGATGCCCTCATAGCAGGGAAAAGCCACCCCTTGACCAACTTTACCTCTTCTAAACAAGTGCCGCCATTTCCTAAACATTGTAAAGACCCACAGCTACCACTGTGAGGACTTCCGGGACAATAAACTTGACCCTGTCATGATGGGTGGAGTCATCCATCATCACATTTTTTTGGCTCATGAGCTTGACCTTTCAGACATTTTCCTTGGGAAAAAAAAATAACCATTTTATCCCCAGTGAGACCCACATACAGAGATAACTCAAGGTGAGTAGAGAGAACCCCAACAAAAACTCTCTTTATCAGCTTATTACTTCTAATCTACCTGAAATACTATTGTAAGGTGATAAGACAGGAAGCTTGGAGTATTCTTTACTTGGATGTCTGAGAAACCCACCCTACCCTTCCTTATTTTCTTGGCTCCACTGTAATAATATGTGGCTGGCAGCAAGTACATGTGATCGAAGATGGTTGTACATTTCTATCTCCAGGTTCATGGTGCATTTTGAGCTGGTGTGTGTGTCGTTACCTAATAATGATGTGTGGTTGTTGCTCTCTCTCCAGAATGTCGAGTGGTGAAGTCTACTTCTTATACCAAAATAGCCTCATCATCACGCAGGAGCACCACCAAGAGCCCGGGACCCTCCAGGCGCAGCAAATCCCCCGCCTCTACCAGCTCAGGTAAATCAGCCAAGGAGGCTTTGAAGCAACTGCCTTGTTTCTGACACAGGACGAACACTGGGTGTGTGAAGCCCAGAGCATGAGGTTTTGCAGATAGTGTAGATTCCGGTGTATAATTTTAGAACATGTTAGAGCGCTTGAACAGATTTGCTGGAGTCTAGCATGTTGGCTGCAAGAAAAAGCATTGAGCTTGAAAAAAAACTTACTTTGCAAAGACTCAGGAAACCCAGATTTGCCCACAAATAGAAGTACATTACCATCTTGTATAATTTCTACCGTGGAAGTTCGTCTTTCAGGCTCTAGAAATCTCTGTGAGAGCGTGTGTTCTACCTGGGGCTGGATTATGAAGCGTTTCTAGTTTGTATTCGTGGAAGCTTTGTTCATCATGCTTTGGGCTCTGGCCTGTTTCCTTTCATGGCTCTGGAACCAAAAGCAGTGGGATTGAGAGGGTGAGACAGGGATTGCTGCAGACCCTGGCCTGGGCCTGCCTCTCGGTGTGTTCTAGTGCTGGTGTCGGAGAGATTGTGTGCAAGCAAGATGACCACCACAGTTCTACAGTTCTGCCTTCTCCTTCTTTGGTCTTCAAACTGGCATGAGCCAATTAGAAGGTATCTTGTGTGTGTGTGTGTGTGTGTGTGTGTGTATGTGTGGCATAAGGCCTATGTCACTGTTAAAGAGAATTATTTTTAAAAGCTTTCACTTGTTGAGTGGAAATTCTTAAATGATGCAAACATCAAAGTGATTATCCACTGATTTCATGAAGATGGACACTCTTATAAATAAGACAGAGGCCTTTGGGGCCTACATGCAGGCCTTCTTTTATCCAACAGCTTGGGCCCAGGGAGCATCAAAGGAGTTCTAGGCTGCAGCTGCCTAAGAAGGAACTCTAGGCTAGATTTTTATAGATTACCATTTTAGGTCATGGAAGAGCCAGACCACTCAACCCAACTTGGTTTTCCAAGAGTTACCTTTCCCTGGGGGTTTACCAATTACTTCTATCCCTAGATGGGTCTCCAAAGACCACCTTCTCCTCTGATATTCTTTTTTTTTTGAGTTGGAGTTTTACTCCGTTGCCCAGACTGGAGTGCAGTGGCCACTCCCAGCCACTGCAGCCTCGACCACTGGGCTCTGGCAATCCTTCCACCTCAGCCTTCAGAGTAGTCGGAATTACAGGCACGCGCTACCACGCCCAGCTGATTTTTGATTTACGGTAGAGATGAGGTCTCGCCAAGTTGCCCAGGCAGGTCTCGAACCCGCGGGCTCAGGCAATCCACTCAGCTCAGCCTCCCAAAGCGCGGGATTACAGGCTGAGCCACCAAACCTGGCCCTCCTCTGATATTCTAAGGGTGGCCTCGGTGGGCTGCCACTACCCCTTCCCACCACATGCCCTGCATCCTAACCTCTTGGAGTAAGTTTCAGAACACAGGAAGCACTTCAGATGCAACTTGTCGCTTTCTCCTCTAGCTTAAGGGTGGGCTGAGAACTCCTCCCTTGCTATGATATCCCTCATCTGAATAGGACGGACTCTAACATAAAGCTTTGCTAAAGTCTAAGCGAGTGAGACTCAATGTTTGGAGTGCATGAGTGTCACTTCGGAACTTGGCCAGATTTGCCGATTTGAAGGACATACACCTGTGTCTCAGCAAATACTGCAGGTCACCCATGGCCCACATTTTGAGAAACAAGAGGTGAGGGCTGCCGGTCTCAGACTAGCAGCACCCTCATCACCTGAGCCTGTGTCAGAACTGCAAAGTCTGAAGCCCCTCCCCAGACCCACTGAATCAGAAACTCTGGAGCTAGGGCCCAGCAGTCTGGGCTTTCCCAAACCTCCCAGCTGATTCAGATGCATACCCAAGTTTGAGAACCACTGAGCTGTGCATGACAGAAAGAAAGTCAGTGTAGTCATTTGACTCAGCTACCTGGAAGAAAAGATATGGCTTGCTCATCTTCATTTATTATCATGGCAGAGGTGACTTTCTTTTGACCTCCCTGCTTGTCTCCAGGTGACTGTGTTCATCTTCAATGCTTACAGCTCAAGAGCAGACCTCTAGATACCTTGAAGTGTAGACCAGGAGAGCTATGAGCAAAGGAGAGAGCTAGATATGACTTCTTCCCGCTTTCAGTGGTTTGTCTTCAGAGAACCAGTTGCCCTGAAGTCCTTTTCTTTTTGTGTGTGTGTGTGTGTGTGTGTATGTGTGTGTCAGAGTCTTACTCTGTCGCCCAGGCTGGAGTGCAGTGGCACATTTACGGCCACTGCAGCCTTGGTCTGCTGGGCTTCAGTGATCCTTCTGCTTCAACTGTCCAAGTAGCTGGAATCACAGGCATGCGCCACCATGCCTGGTTAATTTTTTGATATATTGTAGAAACAATGTCTCACCAAGTTGCCCAGGCTGGTCTTGAACTCCTGAACTTAGGCAATGCTTTCACCTCCATCTCCCAAAGTGCTAGGATTACAGTTGTGAGCCACTGCGCCTGGCTAAGTCATTTTCAACTCTAGTTAAAACCTGGTTGATCTGACCAGCACTAACTTGGAATTTGTGATAAGTAAACCATGCGCATGGTATCATTTCCAAAAAGAAAGGGAAATTCACATTCATTCTAAAATCAATATGTTCTTTCTTTCTTTTTGAGTTGGTGTGTCACTCTGTCATCCAGGTTGGAGTGCAGTTACACACTTATGGACACCCCAGCATTGATCTGCTGGCTCAAGCGATCTTTCCACCTCAGCCTTCCAAGTAGCCAGAACTACAAGCATGAGCTACCATGCCTGGCCAATTTTTTTATTTTTATTGTAGAGTCGAGGTCTCACCAAGTTACCGGGCTGGTTATGAACCTACGGGCTCAGGCAATCCACTCGCCTCAGCCTCCTAAAGTGCCGGGGTGACAGACTGAGCCACTAAGCTGAGCCTCAATATGTTTCTGAGGAATTCACACTTCAAGGTGACATTGACATCTAGGTCAAAATTAGTTACATGGCACCAGTCACATTTTGTTCAGTGGGAGCCTTTTATTGTTTACCTCTTGCATTAGATGACCTACCGTTATTCCCTGCTTACAAAAGAGCTTATAACATGCCACGATCATCTCTTGATTCAGTCTGTATACCAAATCTTACCACCATCCTCTAGATGATTCTACGGTAGAGAGGCTCTTACAAAACATCCAACTCCCAGACACGGATGTGTGGGTCATGACCTCAGAACCACTCCCCTTCTTCCCTTGGACTGGAGCCCAGAGTCTAGGATGTCTGGCGGCGTTGCTGTTTCTCATTGGGGCAGGTGCAGCTGACAGATGTCAGGGAAGCCCCTACCTTGGAGCCCCTCCACTGCTCTGATCCAGGTTTCTGTCGCTACTCAACTATGGCTCATGAAACCAGTGGAAATGCACCGTGAATTGTCTCTATGTCGATTGCATCACAATTTCTCAGAGTAACCTGTTTCATGGTTTTCATAAATCATAGGGACTCGAATGTGAATGGTTTTACTCTAGTATCCTTTATTTAATTTTAATTTGATTGATTGATTGATTGAGACGAAGTCTCACTCTCTTGCCCAGGTTGGAGTACAGTGGCATGATCACAGCCACTACAGCCTCGACCTGCTGGGCTGAGGTGATCCTTCCACCTCAGTCTACTGAGTAGCTGTGACTACAGGCATGCACCCCAACACCCGGCTAATTTTTTGATTTATAGTAGAGATGAGGTCTTTCCAGGTTGCCCAGGCTGGTCTTGAACCCCCAGATTCAGGCAGTCCTCTGCAGTCCTCTTGCTGCCTTGGCCTCCCAAAGTGCTGGGATTATAGGCATGAGCCCCCAGGCCCAGCCTCTAGTATCCTTTAAACATTGATATTGCCCCCCCATTCAATTAGCACCATGAATCTCAATTTTTAACATTAAAGAAGCTTTGTTTTCCCCCCTAAAATATTAACCTAAAGTGTGTAATGATTTCTAGTTCTGTTTTTAAATTTTGACTTCCTGTACTCATCTTTCTATATTATACACAAATTGGAGCGTATTCTAAAAGTTAAGATTTGTTCCGTTTTCAGACTGTCTGTGTTAATAATAATGTGATCAGCATTTATTTATTCATTTATTTTTTATTTCAATAGCTTTAGCAACACAAATGTTCTTTGGTTACATGGGTGCATTGTATAGTGGTGAGAGTGTCTAGGCTTTAAGTATACCCACCACGCCCACCTGTGCACACTGTACATGATAGGCGATTTTTCATCCCACCTTCCTTCCCACTCTTCCCCTTACGAGTCTCCGGTGTCCATTATGCCATTCTCCATGCCTTTGCAGACCCTTAGCTTAACTCCCAGTTGTAAGTGAGAAAATGCGGTGTTTGGTTTTCTGTTTCTACACTAAGGATGATGGTCTCCAATTCCATCCAAGTTGTTGCAAAAGACATTGTTTGTTTATTTTTTATGGCTGGATAGTATTCCCTGGTACATATATACCACCTTTTCATTATCCATTATCCATTGATTCCACATCTTTGCAACTGGGAGTTGTGCTGCAACAAACATACGAGCTCAGGTGTCTTTTTTGTATAACAACCCTTTTTCCTTTGGGCAGATACCTAGTAGTGGGATTGCTGAATCAAACAGTACTTTTACTTCTTGGAGACATCTCCTTACCAATTTCCAAAGAGGTTGTGCTAATTGACACTCCCACCAACAGTGTATAAGCATTCCCTTTTCACCACATCTGTGCCAGCTTCTATTGCTTCTTTATTCTTTTCATGATGGGCATTCTGACTGGTGTAAGGTGATATCTACTGTGGTTTTAATCTGCATTTCCCTGATGATGAGTAATGTTGAGCATTTGTTCATATGTTTGTTGGCCGCTTGTACATCTTCTGAGAAATATCTGTTCATGTCATCTGCCCACATTTATCTTTAAATGAAACATTATAGCTTTCATAGGACTTTTATCCTTTTTTGATCCTCTTATTGATCTAATGACAAGAAAGGAAGACAAGATGTGATTGTCTCCCTTTG